AGTCAGGCATGTGTCCCATGGCATTTCAGGCAAGGTGATGGCCTTCTCTTTCTTGGGCTAGCAGCACCAGGTATATTCAGCAGAAGCCCCTCACCCACCCAGGATCCCCGTACTGAGCATGTCTCAGTGTGAAGGCTGTAATCTATTAGGGAATTGCTTGTCCACTATGGGTTGGGGCAGAGGTTCATGGGAAAAGAGGTCGACTTCCCTGTCCCCAGCTGGGGTCCTGCATTATTATTTTGTATTGGGACTCACAAATTACTAGCCAGCCCTGATGAGAGTAGATGAATAGCACACGCTGGCTTGCTTTTCTAAAGGATCAATCACTCTGCCTGCTATGTAGACTGTGGGAGAGCAAGGGTGAAAACAGGAAGACCAGTAGGAGGTAAGAAGCCAGGTGGAAGATCATTGTGAATCAAATCAGGATGATATCAAGGAAGATGTTAAGAAATGGTTGAATAAAAATGGTTTGAAGGTAAAGCCAAAAGTGTTTTCTGACAAATGCTATATGGGGTCTAAAAGAAAGAAGTGGTCCAAGAAAACTGCACCCCCCCTTTTTTTTTTTTTTTTTTTGGCTTGAGAAACTAAAAGGATAAAGCTGCCACTAACTGAAATGAGGAAGGAGGAGCAGATTTGGTGGGGGCGGGGTGGGGGAAGCAATCTACAGCTCAGGCTCAGATATTTAAATTTGACATGTCTATTGGGCCTCCAAGTACAGATGTTGAGAGAGCAGTTGCATATATTCTGGGGTTCAGGGGACATATTCATTCTTGAGAAATAAATATGAGAGTCATCAACATATATGGTCATGTTTTAAAACATAAGATTTCATGAAATTATTAAGAGAGTGAGACTGCATAGAAAAAGATTTGAGGATTGAGCTTATTTAAAGGTAGAGGAAATGAGAAAGAATTAGCAAAGTACCCAGAATTAGCAAAGAAGCAGGTTTTGAGACAGGGAAAAAACCAAGAGTGAGCAATATAGTGAAAGCCAAGTGGAGAACATATTTCAATGAGCAGGGAGCAATCACCTAGGTAATATACTATTAAACCCTTTGAAATTCAAATAAGATGAGAACTGAGATGTTTACTAAAGTGGAGATAGATGCGGCGGACTTGGTAAGAGCAGTTTCAGTGGAACGGTAGTTGATTTATTTGAGTGTGCTCAAGAGGATAGGAAAGCAGGGATTGAAGAAAGCCGGGTGAGGCAACTCCAGAGGAATTTTGTTGTAAAAGGTTTCAAAGGACTGCATTGGGAGCTAGAAAGGTAATTAAAACCCAAAGAAGTTTCGTTTTGTTTTGTTTTGTTTAACTAGTAGATAAATAAGAGCATGTTTGTAGGCTGACTGGAATAATCCAGCAGAGAGGGCAAATTGGTGATTGTGGACATTAGTGCTTAACTGTGCTCTTGAATGATGAGAGAGAATGGGAGCTGATGAACAAGCTGAGTATCCTTGTAGAGGCAGGAGACCAAGTATGTGGGTACAAATGCTGGTGAGCAGGGGAGGTGTCGAGAGCTTCATGGGTTCTGTTCAGCTTGTTTCATTTTTCTCAATGAAATGTGAAGCAGAATCATTAATTGAGAGTAAGGATGGGGAAGGAGGTGTTTAAAGTTTGAGAAGAGAAAATAAGAAAAAGAATAATAATTTAAAAGAGTAAAAAAACAAATGGACTAGGAAGATGAGGCATGATTGCTGAACGTCCCTAGACTCTACTACAGGGTTATGATTATGGATCTAAAAAGAGTGCAATAGCATGGCCTCGCTCTTTCTCCAGCCACTACCAGTTGCACAGGCTCAGACTTCAAGTTAGCGAAGAGCAGGGTTTAAGCAGGGTTGGTGCTTTTTTGTTTGTTTGCTTGTTTGTTTGTTTGCTTGTTTTTTAAGTTAGAGGGACAACATAGATGAAGATGTTGAGGGATGTTGAGGTTTGAATGTTCTGGACATGGTGTCAAACAGTGTAGATGCCTCATTTCGCTTACTCTTGGCAACAACATTAGGTGCTATTTTGCAAATGATAAATGTGTGGGGGCCAGGAAGGTTAAATAACACGCCTAAGGACACCTGTGTCTGAGTCTAAACTCTGAGCTCTTCTTAACCAGTATGTAGTATTAAAATCTGCACACTGAGAAGTGAATAATAGACTTATGAGATTAGAGACTCTTGAGAACAATATTGTATACAAAGTCCAATAATATGCATTATCTCATTTAATCCTCATATTAATCCTGTGTATCGAGCAATTTGCCCAGGTTGTAGTGAGGCCGGTAAGTGGCAGAGGCTGGATGCAAACGTTGCTCCTCTGACCTCCCACTTATCTACTCCTTCCACAAACTTCCACCATCACTATCCAGAGATGGTTCAGACAGATACTTTAAAGAGTCCAATCAGTTTTGAATAAATGTTAATAAGGAAACCATTACTAGTTATTTCTTTGTTAGAACCTAACAGGATAAGTCTCATAATTCCTGTTTCCATGGGAACATTAGTACAGAATGTAGTGTTCCTACTGTTGTGGAATGATCTTTCTATAAATTCATGCATTCATTCAACTACAATTTATTGAACAAATAGTCTGTGCAGATGCTGTTTTAGGTGCAGGGGGTACGTTTGAATAAGAAATACTCCTGCTCTAAAGGAACTTTTGGTCAACTCAAGCCTTCAGAACCTCAGATACTCTGCAAGGCCTTTTCAAGCCTAGTTGCAATTTAAGGCCCTGAATTTGATCTAGAGTAAACTCTATCCCTTAGGACCCAGTTACCTAAGAGATCATTCCTCTCCCCAATGGTTTGGCATAAAGTAAGATCAGCCATAGTGCCCTAGAGATGAAATCTTAGATTTGGACCTTGGGAAAATAAAACTAGAGTGTTTTCCAAAAAAAAAAAAAAGGATTTTCCTACTCCAAAAGGATCCAATTTTAAAGCTAGATTTAAAAGTAGACCCTTTTGCCAAGCTCAGTGGTACTGCAATGACCCTCATTCACCACTTAAATACTTTTTACTAGAAATACTGGATTTGTACATGCTATGAAATGTTTATGGGCTCAGCGGCCCAACAACTTCCTGCCAGATTGTCAGACAAAGGCCATGTAAGGCAGCACCCAGGGCACTAGTCTGTAAGAATAAAAGAGAATATATGCGAAGGTAGGGTAAATGCCATTTTGTCCAGGTTGGGGCTGAAACAGCAGATGAGCTGTTGCACAAGATGTCTGGGGTGGATACTTCTACATGCAGAGAAATTTGTGCACTCCCACTTCATAATGCTGCTAATTAAGAAAGGCACTTACACTAGTTCCAACTGAGCCTGGAGTCTACAACAGGGAAGGGGGAGGGTGTTATATTTTGCCTCCAGATTTAGAAGACCACAACTGGTGCTTAGTGACAGTGTAACACCTGTTGCCTCACTTCCCTCTGGTCTTAAAACATGTGAGTCACAGTGTAATTTAAGAATTACACTCCCTTACTCTTACATTGCAAATTAAGTGAAACAAAAAAATTAAGTCTTCTTATTAGAAAAAGAGATGAGAATCTTATATGTATTGGGTTTTAAAGAATCTTTTCAAGCAGCAAAATACTTTATATTCTCTTTTTATCTAATTTGGTGAACCATTCTGATCATAGATTTAACTTATTCGAGTCATTTCGAGAGTTGTGGGACAACACATCAGGTTTTCAACTCCTACAGCTTCAAGAGAAGGTAATTCTTGTTTTGGAGTAAGGGAAGTGGCCCAGCTCCCGGCTCCACCACTCCCCGCCAGCGGGTGGGTACTCAATTTCTCCAGGCTGCCGGCCACGCCCCACCGCCCGGTGGTGCTCAGAGTCGCCGCCCGGCTCGCTGCTTCTCCTGGCTTGGCCAATTCCCGGCCACGGAGAGCGCGTGAGGGGTACTGGCCCCGCGGCGTGGACCTGGGCAGCGGAAGGCGCCGGACGCCGGAGCCGCCACCTCACCTCCCCGAGCCTGGGCATCTGGCCTACCAGAGAAGCCCGGAGCCTTCCGGCTGTTCGCTCCTGCCCCCGAGGGCGCGGGCTCGGGGCTCCCGGCGGACCCGCCTGCCCTCCGCAGCCTGCGCCGCACCAGGCTAAGCGCTCGGCTCTGCGCCTCCACTGGCCCTGCACGCGCCCTCCCTCCCCAGCTCTCCAAGGCCGGGCACACCCACTGCCGTTGCCGGCAGTCGGGGGTCTGGCGTCCCAGTTAAAACCAGTCTCCCATCCTTCGCCGGCCCCAGCTACACACCCAGCCCTTGCTACACATCCAGCCCTTCTCCAGGTGTCCACAGACCAGAACAGAATACAAAGAGGCCTGCGCTTCCCTAGCCCTCGGCGCCGCGACACCCGCCGGTGCCCACTCTCCTTCGACCACCGCGAAGGCTGGACTCCAGGATCCGCCCCCCAGTCCCTCTTCGCGCCCTCCTGTCAGTCCTAGACCTCCCTCCCCCATTGTCAGTCAAATCCACCCAGCGTTCTCCGAAATCCCATGAGCTGGGGCCCCCGACTGTTTTCCTGCTGCCTCTCGGCCGCTCCTCCCGGCCCCCGGGACCCGCCAAAACCCCACCCTCACCCAGCCGCTCTTCTCAATCCTGGCCCCTCCTCCGGGGCTCTCCTCTTCCCTCGCCCCTCCCGAGCCGGGGTGGGAGCGGCAGCAGCTGGAAGAGAAGAGATGAGGTCATCCTCTCCCTCAGAGTCAGCTGGTGGAGGAGAGGAAACGGGAGGAGGGAGCGCGCGTGAGGGGAGGAGAGGAATGTGCAGGTCCGAGGAGCGCCGCGGCGGCCGCTGCTGCTCCTGCTGCTGGCGGGGGCGGCGGCGCGGGCGGCAGCCGCGGGG